ACCACCCTTGCGTTCTTCTTCTTCTTCTTCTTCTCCCTCCTCCTCCTCCTCCTCCTCATCCTCTTCTTCTCCTCCCTCTTCTTTTATGTGTTGATACATGCGCTGCGCCCCTCAACGACTACACGCCAGACATCCCTGCTTGGAATGATGATATAGTCTGAACTTCATGGCGACACGAAGGCTACAGGCATTGAAACCAAGGCGACCTGTGAGCTTGCTTGATTGATTTTGAGATACTGTAGTGATGCATTTATATGTCGCAGACTGCGCCACTTCGCCTCAATCAATATTATTCATTTCATTCGAGTAAGAGTTATTTACTATTATTTATTGTGGTTTCAATTAACACAATTGCGATGTCGACTTTCGTCATCTTCTTCTTCGTCTCCCTCCTCCTCCTCTTCGTCATGCGGTCGTTTTTTTATTTTTTTCCCGACGCTGCTTCATCTTCCTTGCGTACTTCGTCTTCTTTTTCTTCCTCTACCTCCTCGTCCTACTCTTCTCCTCCCTCTTTTTCATCATCTTCTTCTTCCTCCTTCTCGTCCTCCTCCATTAGCCATAGCCGGTTTTTTTATTTTCCCACATCATCGCGGGAGACATCATGGCGGGTGATGGCAGTGGCGGGGCTGGGCCGACGAGACAGGCAAGGCAGCCCCGATGCAGGCAAGGGGAAAGAGCAAGTGTAGACTGTTTCTGACAAGCCTTCGTCAAGCAAGTCAGCGCAGTCAACAACGACGATCATCATTCAGGAATCAACACCTGCCACTGATTCTGATCTCTTTCAAGCTAAGGACGAGAATGAGCATAAGAAGTTGCTGAAGAAGAATGCAGTCTGAAAGTGGGTCGAATAGGGACAGGAGGCAGTCCCAACAGGATGTGGGGAGTAGTGGCTGAAGTTTCGCCTTTGTTCCAAGGTGTTCAGGGGCTCATCAACAAAGGCAGTGGAGCATTTCTTGAAAGTGCAGAAACCGTGTCCTTTTCGGACGGGGGAGATTGTGGATGAGCTTGTTACTCAGGGAGGCAAGGTCAACCCCAAAGACAAGAACACCCGGTACTTGCTGCAAAACTTCAGAGGACTCGCCAGGGGCGCAGAGGGGGGCGATGAGGCTTCAGCGAATGCATCAGATGTGGACGATCCATCGTCTTGGCCGGTGCCTCCGCCTGTTCGAAGGCGGTCTATTCCACAATTTGTTGCACCGATCGCAACAACAGATGATGAAGCTGTAGTGAAGGGTGATGATGGCACCGGTGGAGGAGCGGCCCGTGTTGTGTTGGCGAAGACGCGGACCACAATAAGATAGTGGATTGACAACGACGCGCAAAAAAAGTTGGACATTGCATGGGCGGAAGCAATGTTCAGGGCTGGAATTGCCTTCAACTTCTTGAACTTTGACACCACGCAGGCTCTTCACGGTGCTTACTTGGAGGTTGCTAATGCAAAGCCGAAGGTGAAGTTGCCTACCTACAAGCATAAGCAAACTGTCATGTTGGACTACATCTTCGTGAAGGTACATAAGTCAATCAACCCCTTCACTGCTTGGTAGGACAAAACCGATTGCACATTCATCACAGACGGATCGACAGATCGCAAAAACCCGCCGGTCATGAATTTCTTAGCAGCGGGGGAGAAAGGAGTAGTTCTGGTGACCACGGTTTACATGCCTGGGAGGAAGAAAAACGCAGCAGCATTGGCGAAGTTGTGGGAGCAAGTGATGCGGGAGATCGGGCCCAAATGGATCAACGCGTTCTGCACAGACAACGTTGAGGTCAACAAGAAGGCAACGCAAATCTTGGAGAGGCGGACCGACAAAGACGTTGCAAGGATACTGACTAGACGGCGAATACGATCGTGAAGTTCATCAAGAACCATCACGCCACGCACAGTCTCCTGATGTCCATCGATGACTTGTTGTCATTGCTGCGCCCGACAGAGGTCCGGTTCGGGTCGGTGTACCAGATGCTGCAGAGGCTAACGGACAGGGAGGAAGTGTTGAATGAGATGGTGGACGGAGCTTGTGCAGCGAAGTGGCGGGAATTGAGATGGTCGGGAAAGAAGCTGCAGAAAAAAGTTGACCTTGTCTACTTGAGGTCTGAGGGTTGATGGGCCATAGTGAGAGAAATTGTGGCAATTATGGAGCCGGTGTACAGCTTCCTGAAGAGGATGGACAAGGAAAGAGTTTCTCCCACCAACTTCGTGGAGTTCGACGATCTCATTGCGAGGAAATTAGCAAACGTCGTACTCACGAAGAAGGAGAGGGAGGATGTGATTGACAAGGTCAAGGACCGCGTGCAGATGATGCGGCAGCCCATTCATGCAGCTGCGTTTTTGTTGGATCCATGGAGGAGAGACCTAGGCTGGCTCAACGATCCGGACAGCGCCCTCGTGCAAAACGCAATGCGCTTCTTTTGCAGGCAGATCGGAGCGGAGTGGGATTCGAAGCCGCACATGGACATGTAGGATCCACTGTACGAGTTTTTGAGAGAGCCTGTGGAAGGGGAAGTCAGGACATATGAACACATGTGGACACCAGTTGCCATCAAGCAAGCAACCCGACGTACGCCTGCGGACTGGTGGACCTTGTCTGGTGGGCATGTTCCACAGTTGCAGAAGATCGCCATCAACATGTTGGGAACGTGGAGCACGGCGACACCCGCGGAGCGGAACTGGGCAGCAATGGACTTTGTCCATTCGAAGCGCAAAATCAATCTCTCGCCAGAGTCCTTGGAGAAGCTGGTTTACATTCACTGGAACATGTAGTTGTTGTGTGTTCCAAATAGCAAGGACAATGGCTAAGTCGATGAGTGGGGATCCTTCTTCGAGCCGTTGATGGAGCCGACAGCGGAAGATGAAGCTGTCGAGGAAGACGACTGACAATATCGAGGAGGAAAAGAGGCAAAAGAGACTGAAGAAGATTCCAAAAGACCGGATTCCGAAGAGCCTGCTGGATGACGACTCAAGTGGGAGCAGCGATCTTGAGGATCTCATGTGGAAGGGGAAGTGTTGGAACGAGTCGACTTCCGAGGAGAGTGACGGTGGGGATGACATTGGGAAGGACTCAAATTTTGAGTTGGGGGGCAAGCCGGCGGTGCCAGCCACTACGTACGTCGGTTCATGGCTTAGGAGGCGAGAGGAGGCAGAGGTGCTGCCTTCCGAGGCCATTGACAGACTGGACACCGATATCGAGTTCTTGGCGCACCCTACGCCTGATGCCAACGAGGAGGAAGCTGCTCGGGCCAAGGCTATGGCAGATAGGGATGCCGCTTTGGTTCAGAGGCGGATGTGTGAGGAGGAGGCTCGCCGTGCTGCTGTCCCCACCCGGAGGGAGAGAGAGAGACAGAGCAAACAGGTCAGCCAACATGAGGAGCAGCATAGTGATGAAAAGGATGAAAGGGTGGACAACATGGAGGTAGATGAGGCTGCCATGCGTGCAGAACATGAAGGGAGTTTGCAGCATGCGGGAGGGGATATTGAAGCACTCGGAGAAAAAAATGTGCAGCAAGAAGGAGAAAAAAGTTTGCTGCGAGATGGGGGTGATATGAAGGAGGATGCGAAAAAAACTCAGCAGCAAGACGGAGAGGAACTGCAACAACCAGCACCACCAACGGTTTACGCACGAAGACCCCGCCCACCGCCACTGCAGCAGCCTGCACCGCAAGAGCCGTGGGAGGACCAGCAGGTTGTGGCTGCGGAGCATTACTAACACAAAAGTCGGACATCATTAAGGAAATCGAAACCTTCTGCGCAGAATGGCTGACAGGGGAAAGGGGGGGAGGGAGGAACTAGTATGTAACAGCAGGCATCTGGCGCCGGTTCCAGGGTGAAGAGGTTCCCCCCTCTCCCCAATGTCCTGCCCAGTCAATCCCCTGGATTCCAGGGCAATCAATGCTGCCAGGAATCCTCCACAATTTTGTTTCGGATTTGCTCTCAATTCAGTTTGTATATGGGACGCTGGACCCGTTTTCCAGCGGGTGATGCTCCCCACCAATAGACGGAGCCGCTCAGCAGGTGGTAGTGGTGTCTGCCTTTATCAGCACCACTAACACTGGAAAAAAAAAAAAAAAGGTTGTGGCTGCGGAGCAGCCAGAAAAACTCGGATCAACTGTGAGAGGAGCAGCGTCCCACTCCGGCAGACCCCCGTACCCAGCACAGAATGAGGATGCACAACACGACAACATCTGGAAAACCAGGGCGGGGCGAAAGAGGAAGGCTCCGGTGAATGAAGTCCCCGCACCACGTCGCCACCACGGGAGGCCCCGCAAGGAGAAGACGGGGCACAAAGCTGCACCGAAGTCGGAACGTGGTCGTGGAAGGCCCCGCAAAGTGCAAGTCCCATAGGATGACCCCGACTCAGATGGCAGCGGTGCAGAGTCACCCGACGATGAGATTAGCGAAGGGGATTCCAAATGTGTGTGTGTGTGTGTGTGTGTGTGTGTGTGTGTGTGTGTGTGTGAGAGAGAGAGAGAGAGAGAGAGAGAGAGAGAGAGAGAGAGAGAGTTTCACCCTNTGTGTGTGTGTGTGTGTGTGTGTGTGTGTGTGTGTGTGTGAGAGAGAGAGAGAGAGAGAGAGAGAGAGAGAGAGAGAGAGAGAGTTTCACCCTGAACATGATAAATGCTGCAGATCATCATCTTTATTTAATTTTCTGTCATGAATCTCATCTTTCGGTTCTTCATCTTCTTCTTCCTCCTCTACTTCTTCTTCTTCTTCTTCTTCTCCTCCTTCCCTTTTCTCTTCTTCTGCTATTCTTCTTTTTCTTTGCCCTTCCGTTCTTCACAATCTTCTGCTTCATAGTATTGTCTGGCTTCACTTCCATTTTGTATGCATGATGTTGTTGCAGGCCTGCAAACCCTGAACGCAACACCCCCCTTACCACTCTCGATCTCGACACACCACAAAAAACAAATTCCAACATGCAAAGTTTTATTGTGGAATCCGACAGATCTCAGCAAGCGCAGTCGGATCCCGCGAAGGAAAAAAAAAAAAAAAATTGGGCATTTTTTTGGCCCATCCGGTTTGCTGGTTGACCCCCCCTGGCCCGGTCCGGCCCCGGTTGGACCGGGCCAGCTCGACCGGCCGGTTGGCGGCCCAGCCCTGTTCTAAACCACATTTTCTCTGTCTTGCGAAACTGGGCTGGGATGTAGTCTATAGGAGGAGTTGGACGGGGTGTTCAGGGAGGGGAGTAGAGAAGAGGGAGTCCCAGAGGTCCAAAGCCCTAGCCCAATATTCCGTCGCCTCGCTACAATGTATTAGGCAATGTAGTCATTTTGTGAACATATCACGCAAAGATCTGAACTGTTAGGGTCATTCTTACTTCTGCTGATATGCAACCACTGGTTGACAGGTAGAGCCACATATTGAGATGAGCAATTGGAGGCTTCTGATTTTGACCGGTCGGATTGACTTCAATTTTTTCCATTGTTACGATCCTGGCCAATTTCGAAGTACACATTCATCAGAAAGTACAATGCCTTCGAATTGCAAAAAGAAATGAATGAACTTGAGAGGAGAGAGAGAGAGAAAGAAGAAGAAGAAGAAGAAGAAGAAGAAGAAGAAGAAGAAGGAAATGCGAGGCACAGGGCCTCGCATTGCCCTACAGAGCGTATTTTTCACACAGTCGTCTGCCCTAAGTGAAGGCAGGCAGGACCGAGGCCTACAGGCCATTTTGGGGTCACCACGCAACTGGGGAAATTCAGGCAGATGCGCAGCGCCAGTTGGTTGGAAGCGCCCAGGCCCAGGCTGCCTTTCATTGCATGTAACTGAGGCAGGCCCTGGGCTGGATACTCAAAGTGGACCGAACAAAGGCTGAGGAAAGTTGGGTGCCGGTAACCACCACAGGCCCTGGGCCTGTTTACTTCAGACTGAGGCTCAGCCTCGTGGGGCCTACCGTAAGCCTCTGGGCCAGGGCCCAGTACCGCATCACTGCACGCAGCAGCAGGCCACTTCGATATAGAGAAGGGCCTGCCTACGCATTGGACATTCAGGCACTGACTGCATGCTGCGCTAACGCTGCCCAGGCTCACGCACTCACGGGCGAGCTGGAAGGAGCAGGCAGCCATAGCCGAGCTGCGCTGCTGTATGCTGGATGGTGTGCATGGTGGTCCTTGGGTGCAAGTGGCATCTGTGAGTTGGGGAACGAGGTTGTGAGTGATACGAGAGACATACCTGGTGCTTGATGCGTGCGGCATTGGCCGAGATCTGCTTGTACTTGGGAAGCTGTTGACGTCATCAGCGGCATTGTAGTCTAGGCTAGATAGGATCTGCCATTCATAGTCTGGGCGCCGAGCGCCAGATAGGATATCAACATTGGTTCTTCGTTGATGATGATGAGACTATTCCAGCATTGTCACTTATGAGCTTTTGGCGTGCTCTTATTTGGTGAAACTCGTGATGCAGTTCTGTTATTGGCTCGAGGTCTCGACTATCTGGTCTCATGTGTATGATGCTGTTTGATTGCTGAAATTCGCTATTGCTCATCTTCCTTGCAATTTGGTATCAGAGCTGTGGTTCGGTGTACTAATCTGGCGCTTATCTTCTGCCTAATGCGGTACATGCACGCCGTGTGTGCGCTGAGTGACCGTGTCGTGGGGCGTGTGTAGTGAGGAGGGCGAAGATAAGTAGGCGACCCAGGTGGAGAGGGGTTCACCAGGAAGGCTAAGCGGTGATTATTGGGTGTTCGCAGTGTGATGAGAACTATCTGGTGTATGACTGATGCTAAGGTGGAACGGTGGTGCAATGCTGTTGTGCCGAAGCAGCAATTAGTCATCACAATCAACATCGGGTCATCTGGTGAGAATATATGTGGTTGGGGGCAGCTATTTTGAGGTATGTTGCACCTAACCTTATCTACCCTCTTCGACACTTCTTACCGTGAGGATGTGTGTTCTGTCTTGAGAGTCCTCTCATGTGAGGAGTCGTGTGACCTCAACCTTGAGAGTCGTCAATCTTCACGCGGAGCATCAGGAAGGAGAGGGCGGTGCTATCTGAAGGGCCCTAGACGAAGCACTGGGTCACGGTCACCATGCCAACCCACCGGGAGTAGAGCACGCATGCTTTGCTGCTTTGTCCTTTGTCTGCTCGTTGCGCTGTAGAGGGGTTCTGAGGGGCAGGCCAGCCCTATGGGACAGACGAGACCTGAGAGGGTCTATAAATAAGCACCGGCGGGGTACCTTCCATTGGCTGTGATCGTCCTGAGGACTTCGGGGGCCGTCCATATAAACGCCTCCTGATCAACCAATCGGTCGGTGTAAGACTCGCTGCACGCGAGGATAAAAACTGTGCAGGGCTGGCCAGCTCAACAGGACTTGGGGCACAGGGTGGGCCGTGTGCACACCTTTAGACATGCACGCTGTCCGGATTGCTTAGGGCCTGTGACGACAAGAGACATTCTGGAAGAACTGAGGGAGGGGTAGATTCCAGATAAGTTTGGGTAAGATTCCATTCTGCAAACAGACCCATGCTGCGGTAGGCATCAAGAGTGTCCTAGTGAAGGCACTGTACAGTGTTGTACCCTATGAGTGACAGGGAGGTCCCACAACGGGACGACAGGATCTTGCGATCGGCTAGACACCCGGTAGCCCACTTGGCCCTAGGACCAAAGGGTGACAAGTTATTGTTTCGCCAGCTTAGGAAGAGGCAGCAGCAGCAGAGGAGAGCTAGGGCAGAAGAGGCCAGTAGGGCATTCTCAAGCGAAGCTGCAGCTTCAGGAGCCATGGCAACTTTTGAGCAGCTGAGTTCCTAGGCTAGCAGTTCAGGATCCGTAGGGTCAACTGTCACGCAGACCCTGAGTCAGTCAACTGGCGTAATGGCAAGCCAGCCATTAGTGATGACTCCCGAAGAGGTCGCCATACAACGAGCTGCTGATCGCGAGGCACCGCTACAGCAGGCTTTGGGTGAGATTAAGGCAGAGAGAGAGAGAGAATGATTAGAAGAAGAGCCAGGATGCAGCGGAGAGAAGCGGGCGTTAGCGAGTTAGAGGGCATGGATTTCATGCACATGGATGATGATGTGAGAACGCTGCGTGCAGTCCTGCTAGATGTAGTAGAAATGCAGGACCACCAGACGGCTCTCTTACAGGACATCCAACAGAGTCTGGCTGTATTGGTTGGGCGAGTGCAGGCAACTCCATCGTCGTCCGAGCCCGGTGTGGCCCGGTGTACATCCTCCTCTTTTTGTCCCACCGGTGACTGGGGTATCCCCATATGTTGCTCCAGCATCGGTCCAGGCCACTTCCCTAGGTATGCCATTAACAGGAGGGTTCTCAGCAGGTCCTAGTGTACAGATTCTTGTACAGACAGTGTTCTCCCAACCTCCGTCGCAGGTTGCCGTAAGCGGGCAATCTGTTGTCTCGCTGCCTGCACAGCTGCACAGCCCCAGCAGCTAGTGCAGAAGCCTGCACCACAGGGTCCACATCCCGGATTGATGCAGGTACCAGGACAAAGTCCGTGGGTTCCAAAGACGGCAATCGCCGCTCCTAAACCCTTTATAGGGGATAAGAGGGGCGAAGACCTCGACACATGGTTGAGGGCAGTACCGGTCTATATCAAGTGAAAACTTACCTTGCCGCATGAGGAAGTGTTTGTGGCTGCCTCCTATCTAGAGGGGAGTGCAGCAAGATGGTTGAGTGGTTTAGTGCAGCTACAAGGGTATGGTCATGACGTTCGCGCTTAGGCGGTCACCCAGAAACTGGATGATTTCCTCAAGTTGCTGGAAGACAGGTGGCATGATCCTCAAGAGGCCCACAAGGCTACTGATGCGATCCTGACACTGCATACCAGGCAGTTTAAGTCAGTAAGAGAGGCCACTGACGCAGTAGAGCRTCTGATCTGTGTCCTTGGGGTGCGCTATGACCCCCAGGTTTTACTTACCTCGTACCTGAGATGCTTTCCCATGCCTCTCGGGAATCAGCTGGCAGGTGAGGCCAACATCAATATGCACGACTTCCCGTCGTTTAGCAAGAAGGCCCTAGACCTGGAAGCAAAGATAGGGCATGGACAGACGCCCACGACGGATGGTAGGAAAAAGACACTGCCTCCCAACTGGAAGGCGAAAGTCAGTATTATGTTCGTCGACAATGATGGTTCTACCATCGAGTTAGATGACGAGTTTCAGGCGGGAGTAGGTTCAGAGGAGGGCAGCGTAGAAGCTTCACGGGGTGTAGTCGTCGTTGCCGTCGCTCAAAAAAGTAAGGCGACCGGTAGACGCCGAGGAGGTTCCCCGGTCAAGGAGGCAAGTTGACCCCAACGCTCCTCCATGGGAGAAAGCGGGTCCCCGTGAGGACGTGTGGAGAGATCAGTACACGCGGCAGACTTGTATCCGTTGTGGCCAATACGGCCATAACCAGTTCAAGTGCCGAAACAAGAAGATGACCGAAAAGATCCCGCCTACGATGGGGCAGGTGTTGGGATCCTCCGCTCCCGTTGGCAGCAATGTGGCTAGCGATTCTAGCACTGCTCCGGGAAACGCGCCGGGCCAGTAGGAATGGTAGTTGTCCCTGGTAGGGTCAAGGTGGTGGACACACCCTCACCATCTCGAGAGATGGCCCAAACTACTGACTCCATCGTCGTCCCGCAAAACGCATTCAGACCCATCGAGCCTCTGTTCGATAAATGTGTTTGAGTCCTTAGAGGAGCTAGAGGAGGAGTGGTCTAGATTAGACCCACTAACTTCTTGGACGGCATTGGCTAAGGCCCCTAAGGAACAAATGTTTGTCGGCGAGGTAGTCATCGGCGGCCACAAGGCCGGGGCCTAGTATAACACTTGCTCGACAAGGAACTTCATTAGTCGCTCATGCGTTGAGAGATTGCGCTTACAGGGGAGAGTGCAGCGCCTGAGTCGACCTGTGGAGTCGACCTGTGCCAACAAACAGCGCATGGTAGTTAATGACTACCTCCAGAATGTTGAGTGTTGTTTCCCGTACGCGGGAGGGGAACTGAGACATCCCGTCTCATTCCTAGTGAGCGATGATCTCCCCATGGATATCTTGTTAGGTATGTACTACCCCTCCGTAGCATAGCCCCAATTTGACTAGGACCGAAGAGTGGTCAAACACAATTTGCCAGGTGGAGGGACCGCCAAATCACGTAAGTTCAAAGCTAGTAGTCTGATCGAGTCCTATGGATGCATGTGTGCGGCCGCGTTCTATAACTATTATAAGCAAAATCCGGAGGAGGGTATGTATCTAGTCTATGTCTCTGCAGCAGGCGAGCCGGTGAAAATGTCGTCGGAGATAGAGGGAGTAGTTGCCAATTACCCTGATCTATTTGAAGAGCCTACAGGGGTTGTTGAGAGGGAGGTCGTCCACGTGATAGAGATTATCCCAGGGTCAAGCATCCCAAAGGGTAGGATCTATCGGATGTATCCAGGTGAGCTTGATGAGTTTTGCCGGCAACTCAAGGAACTCGTACAAAAGGGTTATGGATCTCCAGTCCTATTTGTGCTTAAGAAGGGGGGAACTCTGAGGATGTGCATTGATTATAGGGGCCTCAATGCCATCACTGTCAAGAACCGAGAGCCCCTACCGCACATCGACGACTTGTTAGATCGAGTGAAAGGGTGTCGGTACTTCAGTAAGATAAATCTGAAGTCTGGGTACCATCAGATTGCTATACGGCCCGAGGATCAGCACAAAACCGCATTTCAGACTAGCTATGGTCTGTACGAGTTTGTGGTGATGCCTTTCGGCTTTTGCAATGCTCCTGGCACCTATCAGCACGCAATGAATCAGATTTTTCATGACTATTGTCATTGTGTACCTCGATGACATACTTATCCTTAGTAGGACTGTCGAAGAGCACATAGCTCATTTGGACAAAGTCCTTAGTCTCCTTCGACAGCACAAGTTCAAGATCAACGGTGAGAAGTGCGAGTTTGGCCGCACCCGTATCTTGTACTTGGGTCATGAGATATCTGCGGAGGGATTGAAGCCTGATGACGCGAAGGTGGCCAGCATTCGTGACTGGCCGCGTCCTCAGTCTGTGACTGAGATGAGGTCTTTCTTAGGGATGACCGACTACTACCGCAATTTTGTAAAGAACTATAGCATGGTGGCCTCCCCTTTGACTGAACTGACGCGCCTTGACACCCCATGGGAGTGGACAGACACATGCGAGGCTGCTTTCAGACATTTGAAGCTTGCATTGACGCATCATGAGGTCTTGAAACTTCCTGATCCTGATAAACCGTTCATAGTAACCACGGATGCCAACCAATATGGCATTGGTGTCGTGCTAGCGCAATAGGAGGGGCCAAAGTTGATGCCATTCGAGTACATGTCCAAAAAGATGCCCTCTCAGAAGTTGGCTAAGTCCACCTATGTGAAGGAGCTCTAGGTGATTTACAAGGCACTGACTTGTGCTCTTTGATGCCTTGAAGCGTTGGATCGAAGTCATCGAACAGTATGACTTTGAACCCCAGTATCTGAAGGGGTAGTACAACAAAGTTGTCGATGCCTTATTACATAGGCCTGACTTCTCTGGTGCGCTGATCACTGAGTTCAGGCTTGCGGACGATGTCAGTCGTTCTATGGTGGAAGCCTATTGCGAGGATCCGTTTATGTCTGAGATCATTCGCAGACTCAAGGCGAAGGACAAAGTGACTTCTACCGAGTTTGAGTTGGTCAACGGCTTGCTGTTCCTTGAGAAGGCTGGGAACAAACGTTTGTGTGTACCTAATAGGGAGTCTTTGCGCAGTTTATTCTTAGGAGAGTGTCATGACGCCACCGACCATTTCGGTTTCAAGAAGACTGCAGCCAATTTGTTGCAGCGGTTCCGGTGGCCCACGATGATGAGAGACACAAAGTTGTACGTGGAGACTTGTCAAGTCTGTCAAAGGGGCAAGCCACGTACACAGGCTCCTCTTGGGCTTCTAAAGCCCCTTCGGATTCTGAAAAGGCCTGGAGAGAGCCTGTCCATGGACTTCATGGATAGGCTGGTCACCAGCAAAAGTGGTATGTGCTATGTCTATGTCATCATGGATAGATTTAGTAAGTACGCTAGGTTAGTCGCAATGCCTGCAACAGCTAAAACTGAGTATGTGATCAAGTTGTTCAAAGAGAACTGGGTCAGAGATTTCGGACTGCCTAAGTCCATAGTTAGTGACCGGGATGTGCGATTCACCAGTGAATTGTGGAAAGCTGCAGCTGCAAAACAGGGCACGCAGTTGCAAATGACATCAGGCAATCACCCAGAGGCGAATGGGCAGGCAAAGCAGTTGAACCGCGTTATACAACACCTCCTGAGGCATTACATCAAGCCGACTCAGGTAGACTGGGATGAGAAACTTGCTCTCATCGCCAGCCTGTACAACAACGCTGTGCACAGCGCTACGCGAGTAAGCCCGAATAGCTTGCTACTGACTTTCAAGCCTAGACTGCCTTTGGACTTCCTACTACTTGAGAATCAGCCATCTGCTGCACCAGGAACCTTAGAGTTTGTTTATCGATATGAGTGCCTGATGCAGCAGGCTGTCGAGCAAATGCATAAAGCACAGGCGGCGATGATAGAGTCAGAGAACAAACGCCGCCACCCATCTGCATTCCAGGTAGGAGAAAGAGTCCGGGTCAAGTCTTCAGAACTGGGACAGGAGCACGGGATCTCCCGCAAGCTCATGCCACAGTACTTTGGACTATGGGAGGTTCTAGATGTCATTGGGGATGAACCAGATGGCCCTTCTTATGTTATTCGCATCCCTGGTCACTTGCGCACTTACCCTGTTTTCCACGCCTCCAAGCTTGCACCTTTTGAAGAAACAGATCAGTTTCCCTCTCATTGCTCAATGCTGCCCCCAACCATGGATGGAGAGGTCGATATCGATGACATCGTTGACCACATGGAAATGCCAGTTCCAAGAGCGGCAGGCAGTGGACGTCCTCCAAAACCGAATATGCAGTATCGAGTTCGGTTTAGACATCACACTAATCCAAAGGAGGATATATGGTTCACACGGGAGGAACTGACGCAAACCGCTCCACAGGTTGTCGTTCACTATGAGAAGTCTCTGTAGAAGGGAAAACGCCAGATTATCGAAGACTAAACTTCTCAGAGGACTATCGAAATATGGAGGAGGGAATGCGAGGCACATGGCCTCGCATTGTCCTACATGGCCTATTTCTCACACAGTCGGCCGCCCTACGTGAAGGCAGGCACGACCGAGGCCTACAGGCCATTTTGGGGTCACCACGCAACTGGGGAAATTCAGGCAGTTGTGCAGCGCCAGTTGGTTGGAAGCGCCCAAGCCCAGACTGCCTTTCATTGCATGTAACTGAGGCAGGCCCTGTGCCGGATACACAAAGTGGACCGAACAAAGGCTGAGGGCAGTTGGGTGCTGGTAACCACCACAGGACCTGGGCCTGTTTACTTCGGACTGAGGCTCAGCCTCGTGGGGCCTACCGGAAGCTTCTGGGCCAGGGCCCAGTACCGCATTACTGCACGCAGCAGCAGGCCACTTCGATATAGAGAAGGGCCTGCCTACGCATTGAACATTTGGGCACTGGCTGCATGCTGCACAAGCGCTGCTGCGCTAACGATGGCCAGGCTCACGAGCTCACGGGCAAACTGGAAGGAGCAGGCAGCCATAGCCGAGCTGCGCTGCTGTATGCTGGATGGGGCGCATGGTGGTCCTTGGGTGCCAGTGGCATCTGTGAGTTGGGGAACGAGGTCGTGAGTGATACGAGAGACATACCTGGTGCTTAACGCGTGCGACATTGGCCGAGATCTGCTCGTACTTGGGAGGTTGTTGACGTCATCAGCGACATTGTAGTCTAGGCTAGATAGGATCTGCCATTCGTAGTCTGGGCGTTGAGTGCCAGATAGGATATCAACATTGGTTCTTCGTTGATGATGATGAGACTATTCCAGCGTTGTCAATTATGGGCTTTTGGTGTGCTCTTATTTGGTGAAACTCGTGATGCAATTCTGCTATTGGTTCGATGTCACGACTATTTGGTCTCATGTGTATGATGCTGTTTGATTGCTGAAGTTCACTATTGCTCATCTTCCTTTCAGAAAGAAGAAGAATATGATGTACACAACACAGACCAATGATAATGCTATTCTCCTTCGCGAATCACTCTCCTCCTCCTTGTAATGAACCCAGACTGGAAGGTATTCGTCAGACGCCGAAGTACGAGTTGACTCAGATCTGCACAATGTCTCCAATAATCGTGAAAGTGATATCTGATACAATGTCTCGTTACCAATAGACGAAGAGAGTGGAGGGGGAACATACAAATAAGAGGGTGGAAGAGATAATCAATGACCACCAGAAGGGTAACCCAAACATTACCCACTCCTTCTCCGGGCTTCCCCTCGCCTCCACGTCATCAATCAATATCCAGTAACAATTCAGACAAGTCCTAATCACATAGAAGTGTCAGGTGGCACTGTCATCTCGTGGAGCCAATGAACACAAACGGCAGTGCCACGTGGCAGTGTCATCTCGTGGAGACAATGACCACAAACAGCAGTGCACGGTATCGACGTCAACCTCAGGTGAGTACCAGTTCCCCAATCATCCACAAATCCCAATCTCCCTCCTTGTCGCGACCAATCACCTCATGTAGACAGCATGACCAGTGCCACGTCAGCAATAGAGACAGGTGGCATGCGCCACATCAACAATGAAGACAGATGGTCTGCGCCACATCAACAATGTTAACAGGTGGCATGTGCCACATCAACAATGTGGACAGGTGGCATGCACCATATCAGCAATGAAGACAAGTGGCACGCGCCACATCAGCAGAGGCTGGCACTCAGCAGAGAAGGCGCCAACGTGCTGCCACAGTCCCGCGTCGTCATCCACAGTACCAACGCACAACCAGCGTCAAGCCAACGTCCAACTAGCGTCGAGCTAGCGTCATGCCAGCGTTCAGCCAGCGTCAAACCAGCGTCAAGGCAGCATAGCAAGACTGAATGTTGACCTCCTGGAGACCAAGCCGTATGTAGTGTTGATGAGGGAGTCTGGCCTCAGGTCTCCCACCCATAGTCGTATAGATGACTCATAGTCGAGGGCCTGGATTGTGTACAGTTGCAGACTTCCCCTTGGTCCTGGTGTTGTTTGGGTACCTGCATAGAAACAAGTGTGTGCGTCTGACCGGCGGCCTGAGTTGGGTCCACGTTGACTTTGACTGTTGTGCATCAGGTAGTTGACTTTAGTCAATTGTCTCCCGCTCAGGCCCTGAATCTTTTTCCCTTCGGCGTGGGTCTGAGTATGGCCTGGCAAGGCCCTTGACTTTCCACGAGGCATATTGCATGGGTCATTGCATTCCTGCCCGCCCAGTTTTCAAGTTCCATCGCAGAAACACATCAATTTTCTTTCAGCCCATGTTCATATGCAGCAACAATGTCAGGCGCAGTAGGTAAGAGTTCCTTTGTACTAAACCATTTACCTTCAGTAGGGGGTTGAGACTTGAACTTTACCTTATACTGCTTTTGCGGTCGTCCTCTGCTACTTGTAGAAAATAGCCATGTTTCAAAATCTTCTCAACTTCATAGGCTCCATTCATGGAGGGGGGAAACATATATGGTTTATTAGGAAACTCAATTCCCTCTACATATGGCAAGAGTTTAGATGTGTGAAAAACAGGATAAGTCCTTAGGTGTGGGCGTACGTCTAATCGGTACGAAGGTCCACATGCATCCCCAATCACCTTGAGAACTTCCGAGGGTCCGTAGTAGACAGACAACAATTTTTGAGACACATTTTCTTCTTGGGAAAACTCTTTAGACTTGACCCAGACAAGATCTGCTTCTTGAAACTGTGAAGGCCTGCGATGTTTATTGGCCTGCTCAATCATCTATAGTTGGGCTTTTTGTATATTTTCCTTGAACTTTTCTAATGTCTTCTTCCATACAAAACTGCAAATTCATGGGTTCCGGGGGTAGCCTTTGAATCCGGTCCCTTGTTAATGCATCAATGGGCCGTCTAGGGTTCCAACCTTTATGCAGTGCATTAGGCGTTCTACCTGTAACAGTATGTACACTCTTATTATAGGCACTAGCAATCTTATGTGAGTTCTCATCCCAATCTATTTGATTGGGTCGGAGATATATGCGCAAAAGTTGTTGGCACGGACAATTTATTTGTTCAGCTTGGCCATTCGTTTCAGGATGTCTACCTGACGACATGGTCAACCTGGTGCCATAGACTTCCATCAACTTTTGCCACTGTAGACTAGTGAACCGAACATCCCTGTCAGAAACGATGGTTTTCGGGAATCCATACTAAGAAACCCATCGCATCTGGAACTTGTGGATGACCAGTTCAGTTCTAGCTTTGGCTGGCAAAGGAATTAACATAGCATATTTTGAGAATCTATCTACAATGACCATTACCTGACTGTTGCCGATTCGGCTCTTAATGAGACTCATAAAGTCTATGGAGATCGACTCACCTGGCTCACTTGGAAGAGGTAGTGGTCTCAATAGTCCCAAGGGATTCTCGTTCGAGGGCTTGTTTCTCTGACAGACAAGACATCCTCTTTCATTCCTTTCCATTCAAAGTGTTCCCGTACATCAGAATACGTCTTCTTAAAACCAAAGTGACCCTCAACATCATGGCATTCCCCATGATTAGAATCTTGATTTGTTCTCGGTGAGGAATACATAATCTTTCTTCGGTTTTATCTAGGTAGAAGAGTAAGCCATCAGTCATTCGATATTCTGCGAATAGTTCAGGGCTCTTTTTTAGGGCCCAAATGATAGGACTCCAAATAGGATTACTCTCATATCCCTTTCGGATTTGTTCCTTCGGTTCATTCCCGATATCGAGGTAGGAGGCAATAGTTCTAAAGAAATCTGCACATCTGGACTAAGCATCCGCCACCACATTAGACTTCCCTTTGATTGTTTTTAGTTTAAAGTTAAAGGTGTCGATGAAGGCGGACCATCTTACTAACTTATCAGAGAGTCTAGGTCGAGTTTTTATCCACTTCAGAGTAGAATGATATGAGTAGACAGTGAAGTGTCTCCCTAACAAATCTTCCAGGTGTCTAGTGCAGCAACTAAGGCATACAATTCCCTCTCGTAAGTGGAGTTGGTCATTTTCTCTTACGAAAGTCTCATGGACATAAACTCAATAGGTTTGTATCCCTTAGCGTCGTCCTGTTGTAGCACAACCCCAATCCCATACTGACTTGCGTCAGTTGTGACAATGAAAGGGAGAGAAGGATCAACAATTTTTAAGACAGGGTAGTGAGTCAGTAGATGTTTCAACTTTCTGAACGACAACTCACAATTTTTGTCCCACAACCAAGGTTTTTCCTTCTTCATAAGTCTTCTCATAGGAGCAACTATCAAAGAGAAGTTTCTGACGAACTTCCTATAATAACTAGCAAGTCCTAGAAAAGCTCTCAACTCAGTTATAGTTTTAGTTTGGGGTCAGTCTCGAATTGTTGTTATCTTCTTTTCTTCGAGCCTTGGTCCTTCTTCATTCACTATATGACCTAAGTACAAGACTTCAGGCTTACGAAACTCGTTGTTTTTCTGGTTCAGTTTAAAATTGCCTTCGCACAATTTCGACAGAACCATTCATAGATGTTTCTCATGATCTTCTAATGTCTTACTATACACTAGAATGTCATCGAGATTGACTACTGCGAATTGATCCAACCATTAACGAAACGACTCATTCATTGACGTTTGGAAGGTCGCAGGTGCATTAGTCAAACCAAAAGGCATAACCACGAACTCGTAATGATCATACCTGGTTTGGAAATTTGTCTTTGTGTTGATCTTCAGGAGCCACCTCGATCTGGTGGTACCCAAACTTCAGATCAATTTTATTGAAGTACCTGCATCCTTGCAATTAGTCCAACATGTCGTCAATGCGCGGAAGTGGTTTCTCGTTCTTTACAGTGATGGAATTCAACCCACAATAATCAATACATAATCTAAGTTCACCTTCCTTTTTGGGCACGAATAAGACAGGGCACCATAAGGAGATGAGCTAGGGCGAATCCATCCTTTACCCGTAAGTTCGTGCAGTTGTTTGCGAAGTTTCTCAAGTTCCCGAGGAGACATACGGTAGATGGGACCCTTGGGAATCTTTCTTCCGGGAATAATCTCGATCGTGTGCTTAATAGCATGCTCAGTGATTCCCGCCGGCTCAGTCTGCAAGACCATGCATCGAGAAGTTTCTCAATAGAAGAAGGGTAGGATGAGGAACGTTCTCCTACTCGTTTAACAAATACCATCATCACATCCTGATCCAACTTCTTCTTCGAGACGATCGATCTGAAGGTTGGGTAACTCATAGAATAGAAAGACAAAGTTGAGTCAAAGTCAGGCCTATGATACAATTTAATCGCTCACATTTCGGACTTCTCGTCCTTTAGCTTTACAATTTTTTCTTTGAACCTGACTTTTGGGTCGGCTTCCTCGTGCCAATCCATCCCCAAAATCATATCAAACGGCAGGTTCTTTTCAATAAGGAGGGATACTTCGTGTAAGATTTTATTTCCTTCCTTAGTCCTGAAGTAACACTTCACACAATCAACATATTGAGAGACGGTGATCGTGCTCATGTCAACGAGCATAAACATGATCGGTCTAGGTAAGTTTCTTACCTTCATACCCAGATGCAATTTGCGGATTGCCTTTTCTGAGATGTAAGACCGCGTCGATCCTGGATCTAACAGTGCACGGACCCACGTATGTGCAATCTCAATATCTGCGATCATGAGTTCACCCTTAGACTTAGCTTTCTTAGCCCACGAACTCTGAAGTGCTATGAGTTTATTGTCGAGCTCGTCAAGGGAGCCAGTGAGATAGAACAGAGAACAGTGTCAGGGTGCTCTGGACGACGGGCTGAAGAAGAGCCATCCTCTGCCTTAAACCACTAGTACCTTTGCCGCTTGGGAAAATAGCGGGCCTCGGGTAGGGGTCCGACCTTTTCAAAGGCCGAAACGAAACAACGGTCGCCGATCAGATTTATCAATGGCCGTCGGGCCCGACCTCCGAAAATTCAGGAGTTTGGGAAAACTGCCAGTTTTCCCCCCGCGCGGGAAAGGTACTAGTGGTTTAAGAGTCGAGGGGTTAGAAGGGATTGTCAACGCCTTACCTTTGTCTAAGCCTTTCGACTTAGTAGGAGCAGATGCTACTCCTAATGGATGCTCACTTTTGGGTTTCGGATCAAGGGACACCAGGCTATTACGTGCCCCACAGTTTCGCACTTGAGGCATTGCCGATTGTCCATCTTGGATTGCCACTCATCATGTGTCATTCCCATCTTCTCCCAGGGCTTCCGGTACGTGATGCTGGGATGCTCAGGAGACGAGTGTGGCCTCTTCTTCTTCCACTGACTTGGGCCACCCCTGTTGGTCACTATTGCAGCTACGTCACCGTTCCCAGACTTGCTGCTGCCATTACCTCCTCCTCCCTCAGACTCGTCGAGAGGTAATTTTTCTACGGTATTATCGTCAAAAACTACAAGCATGTGATCCTGCCGCTTTTGCCGCCAAAGGACACGCTTGCCGTACCCACCTACCGAACCACTCTTCACCACGGAAACATATGTGCTCTTCACTTGCGGGATCATCTGCTCTTATTGGAGAGCGAGGTCGCAAAATTGTCTGTAATTATTCTGTCCAGACTTTGCCTCAGCCACGAGCTGTCCACGAATGGGCTCGGACAAGGCACATGAGTAGATGTACAGGATCTGGTTGTCTTGTAGATTAAGACCAGGTACCTGCAGAAGACGGTCCACCTCACGCGACAAAGTATCAACGGAAGTCCAACGTTTTTGACCTATTGTGGTGAGCTCGTCAAAAGCCTTGTCGGTTGTGGTCTTATCAAGAAATCTCTCCTTCATTTTCTGGAGAAATTTCTTGAGGGTTAGGGTCTTGGCCCACTCACCAATATCCTTATAGCCAGCAGCGTTGGCTTCGGACAGGACCCACTCCTTGGCCACTTCTCCAAGCACGACGTGGAAAAGGCTACATGACTCTCAGGCTCAAAAGGGGCGGTCCCGCAATAAGTCTGGATTTCTGCAATCCAGAACAACAAATTTTCTCCCTTTTTGTTGTTGTACGTGAATGACAATTTCATTTTCACTTTTTCCTTCCTCTTCGATTTTTCTACTTCCTTGGCCGGTTCTTCCTTTTTAGTGGTTCCTTTTTTTTCTCTGTTGGTCCCTCAGATTCCTTCTTAGAGGTTCCGGGTTTCTCCGGCGTCACTTTTCGCTTTGCATCCTTCATGAGTTTTTCTTGGGGTTCTTTCTTGACTTCCTCCCCCCTGGTCTCCTCCTCAATCCTTACCTTATCCTCGCCTGTGAGAAGTCTGGTCACTGTGTCCAGTGAGGCAGTGTTGCTATCTATTTTTTTTTTCCAGGTGGACAAGATAAACCATTATAGACTGCAGAATGGATGCAAGTCCAGTGCCAGCTTCTTCATAGTTGAATCTCTGCCTTAATTCTTCCATCATTCTTTCTTCTTGTTCTTGTTCTTTTTTCCTTCTCCGGAATTCTTCTATTTTCGTTCTTTCTTCCGTTACCGTGTTTTCTAATTGCCTGACATTTTCCTCCATTATCTCTACAGACAATTTTGTTTTCCAGGTTTTCAACGACATAACGGTGGAGGGCTATTCGCTGTTGCTTGATGAGCTCCTCAACTTTCTTTCTGGTTTCCAGCATCTGAACGATTGTCTTCGCATTTTCTAGTTCACCTTCTGTGGCGCGCAGATTGAACTGTCCATGCACCAGCCGTTCAGCCTCTGGTCTGGCACTGTGTATTTTGTCGAGCAACTGGCGGAGAAGGTCTGTCAAAGTCTGCCTTCTTGCATCTATCTGACAACGAGTCTCAAGTTTCCTTCCTTCTTCAGCGGCATAGACGGTGAGAGGGATAGGAAAGAAGAAAAGAGGGATACACCGCGTAAGGATGGAGGCATGCAGACATTTCCAGAGAGAAGTCGTATTTCCAAATGTGTGAATGCCGCACAATAAATCTCTAATAATACTATAAAGCAAGAAGCAGGTCTCGCATGATGGACCCATCAGAAACCGGGCGCCGCCACGCGAGACCGCTCCCGCACTTCAGTTTTTCCCAACCGCTGTGAGTCCGTGACTTCAATTTTTTTGGGAACCGGTGTTTTCGGGAATCGGTGTCAGGTTGTGAGGCGGTTTTCGGCGGATCAGAATCCACATGGCAAGGCCGGGAAGATACAGCGCCTGCTTTTTTTTTTCCTGTGGCGGATCCAAATCGGCAGCGCAAGGCCGGGAAGATACAACGCCCCCTTTTTTTTTCTGTGAGTCGTTCAGCTGGGTGAGCGGCTGCTGCGTGGCTTGATGCTTTTTTTTGGCAAACGCTTCGTCAGTCGGGAAGCTGCGCGAGCGCTGCCTGCGCGGGGCTTGGCGATTCGCGGGCGGCATGGCTTGATGCATGCACACAAAGGCACGCAAAGGAGCGACCGTGGTGAGGGCGAGCATTGGCTTACAAAGGCACCTGAAGGGGCGACCGTGGTGAGGGCGAGGGTCGACCGATGGTTGCAGGGAGAGCAGGGGTGAATGAGCAACACATGATCGAGGAAGAGAAGAAAGTCGTCAAGAAGGAGAGAAAAAATTGTGGGTGTTACAAAGACAGCCGAAGGGCCGGCCGTGGTGAGGGCGAGCATCGGCTGATGGTTAACACATGATCGCGGCACGCTACTGCGACCGTGCATGGCGAGAGAGGGCAACGACAGTCGAACGAAGAAGGGTGTGAGGAGAGGAAGAGAAGAAAGCGGTCAAGAAGGAGAGGAGGAATTGTGGGTGGTTGCTTAAGAGGGCGGCGGGATTACGAAGATTGGGAGGAACGACAGAGGACAACACGAATCCCGAACGGTGATTGCCATTATGGTTGACGCAGGTATGTGTCTTTGTGTTTCTATCTCTCTCTTTCCTATTTGTTTTTTTCCCGTTTTTCGCGAGCATGAGAGAGTATCGCATCATGAACACAAACAAACAAACAAACAAACAAACAGGGGGGGGAGAGAGAGAGAGAGAGAGAGAGAGAGAGAGAGAGAGAGAGAGAGAGAGAGAGAGAGAGAGANGAGAGAGAGAGAGAGAGAGAGAGAGAGAGAGAGAGAGAATCCTGGTCACATAGTCCCAAACCCGATCCAGAGAGAGAGAGAGAGAGAGAGAGAGAGAGAGAGAGAGAGAGAGAGAGAGAGCCACGCTGCCTACCCGCGTGACAAATGTACGAACTATACACGGCAACATTCTGACGACTAGAGCGTGAATGACTTTGATTTCAAAACCGAGCTGTAATCTGTAAACGGGATTGACTCTTTCCAATGAAATGAACAGAGATCCAAAGTATTTTTTCATCACACCCACATAGGTTACTCCAATCAGGGATCGGGTCAACGACCGTGGACAGGGAACTACCAGTGGAAGTCGCAACTAGGAAAAGTCGGCAGCCGGATGGCCGACTTCAAAGAGGAGCGAAATCCTGAGGATGGGACTCTCGGGTACTGCCGATGGGACTGAGGTACCAAACAAGAACAAAGTGGCCGCGAGTGTGTGTATAGATGCGCGAGGTTTTTTTTTTCTCTTTTGGGCGCCATGCGGTGACCACGACGAGGAGACCACAACGGAGGAGGGGGATCCTGCAATAGAGGAGGAGGAGGAGCGTGTAATGGAGGAGGAGGAAGAGAACTACGAGGAGGATGGAGGAGGAGGAGGAGGAGGAGGAGGAGGAGGGAGCTACAGCGGAGGAAGAGGAGGAAGCTATGGCGGAGGAGGAAGAGGAGGAAGAGGAGGAAGAGGAGGAGGAGGAAGAGGAGGCTACGATGGAGGAGGAGGAGGCCCTCCCTTTCCTTCTCCCCTGTCTTCTTCGCTCACCCGTCTTCCACTGCCGCTGCGTCGCTGCGGACGGTCCACTTGTAATTTTAAAGACAAATAAATTCCACACCCGCACACAATTTTTCCTACAGCAAGAAATAATCAAAGGCAGATAAGAAGAAACAAATTGTGTGTGATGACGTCCTACATAAAGTGTACAGGTACTGCAACCACGACCAATGTGATCAAGACAACAACACACAGGTGAGTATGCACGACAACCATAGAACAGCCAAACAAGTGAGTAGGTCAGCCAACACAACCAACAACAATCAATTGTTAGCCTTCCTTCCTCTACGGCTGTACCATCTGCAGAACCAATGCAACCAGACACAAGGGCCGACACGTGACACTACAACAAATCGTGAAGCTGTACCGTCTGCCAGCACACAAGTGCAAGATCAACACCTCACCCACAGCTGCGTGCCATGCATACCACGTGTCACCCCTGGAATGCCAGCACAACAGCTCTTCAGAGTCTGCCACGTCAACGTCAATGACCTGAAAGGTCTACGAGGGGGATGCCACGTCAGCAATGCATGGTCTGCAAACACATCCAAAACTGGTATGCCATGGCAGATCAAAATGTGGAGCGCTTCGTCAGCAAGCAATCGCGACACAGTTACATGCCACGTCAGACAATCCCCTGCCAATAGTAGTAGGATTCCACGTCAGCACCCCTACGTTATGCCACGTAGGTAGGGTGCCACCTCAGCGGTTCCAATATCCACACTCTCTTTCTTCACCAATGCCACGTCAGCCTGTAGCCAACGATGCTCTCGTCGATATCCCAATGCCACATCAACAACAAAGCGCCACATAAGCAATGTCGCCGTCTTCTTCTTCAGTGTGTCCACGTCATCACCTTCAAGGGAGGCTGCACGCACGTGCGGTACTCAATGTCTAGACATGCGATTACTCGTGCGCATTGATAAACGTGTTTCATTCCTGCACGTGCGGCACCTCCCACTTACCTGGGTGCCACGTCAGCACCTGACAGCAGATCGCGATGAAGGAGGTATGCTCCGGTACCAAATTGTAATGAACCCAGACTGGAAGATACTCATCATACGTCGAAGTACAAGTTGACTCAGATTTGCACAATGTCTCCAATAATCGTGAAAGTGGTATCTGATACAATGTCTCGTTACCAATAGACGAAGAGAGTGGAGAGGGTGGAAGAGATAACCAATGACCACCAGAAGGGTAGCCCAAACATTACCCACTCCTTCTCCGGGCTTCCCCTCGCCTCCACGTCATCAATCAATATCCAGTAACAATTTTGACAAGTCCTGATCACATAGAAGGGCCACGTGGCACTGTCATCTCGTGGAGACAATGAACACAAACAGCAGTGCACAGTATCGACGTCAACCTCAGGTGAGTACCAGTTCCCCAATCATCCACAGATCCCGATCTCCCTCCTTGTCACGACCAATCACCTCATGTAGATAGTGTGGCCAGTGCCACGTCAGCAATAGAGACAGGTGGCATGCGCCACAGCAGCAATGAAGACAGATGGCCTACGCCACATTAGCAATATAAACAGGTGGCATGTGCCACATCAGCAATGTAGATAGGTGGCATGCGCCACATCAACAATGAAGATAGGTGGCATCAGCAGAGGCTGGTGCTCAGCAGAGAAGGCGCCAACATGCTGCCACAGTCCTGCGTCGTCGTCCACAGTACTAGCCCACAGCCAGCGTCAAGCAGCGTCCAACCAACGTCGAGCCAACGTCATGCCAGCGTCCAGCCAGCGTCAAGCCAGCATAGCAAGATTGAATGTTGACCTCCTGGAGACCAAGCCTTTTGTAGTGTTTGACAAGGCAGTCTGGCCTCCGGTCTCCTACCCACAGTCGTACAGATTGACTCACAGTCGAGGGTCTGGATTGTGTACAGTTGCAGACTTCCACCTGGTCCTAATGTTGTCTGGGTACCTGCATACAAACAAGTGTGTGTCTGACCGGCGGCTTGGGCTGGGTCCACTTTGACTTTAACTGTTGTGCATCAGGCAATTGACTTCAGTCAATTGTCGCCCGCTCAGGCCCTGCATCTACGTAGGGGCCATTTTCCCCCTTCGGCCTAGGTCTGAGTATGGCCTGGCGAGGCCCTTAGACATTCCAGGAGGCATATTGCATGGGTTGTTGCATCCTTATCTCCTCCCCTCTTATTAAAACAAGAAATAGTAATAATAAATGTTGAATGGCTGAACCAGAATCAATGTACGAATCCCTCTTCTATTGCAGGCACAACATGAGGTGCACCATAGCCATGACCATCCTTCCTCTTCCTCTTCGTGTACGCCAAGGCTATGGCGGACTACTGAGGGCTCTGCCCTCCTATCCAGAGGACAACCCAAAGCAGCTATGTCGCGGCCCTCCTGTCCAAAGGACAACACAAAGTAGCTATGTCGCTGCTCATCAAGCCGCCATGCCTGACTCTGCCTCGAGCTTCCTTGGTGCGGCACTACCCCAACTGGGGCCTTCCAAATGCAGCGCCTATCAAGGTCATGAAGTAGGTACCTCGCCACTCTTCTGCCTCCTCCTACCGGTAGAGCTCCACCATAGCCGAGGTGGGAGCTCCCGGTCTCCTTCCTCCCAGCAGCGCTGTAGTGCCCGGCGCTCCTCCAACCAGCGCTCCAAGCAGTGCGCCACCAAACTTGCACACCGAAGAATGAGGCTGAGCTCTTGGCTCAGCCCGAAGATGTAGCGGCCTACTTGCCTCTTGGGCGGCGACTTCCAGGCCACTCGGCCTCCCAAGCAACCGGTACCTCCTCCCTTTTGGAGGGAAACATCATTGCAGACTCTGATATTGCCCGTACAGGCCCTAGACTCAGACTGGTTGGACTGGTACCCACCTAGACCTAGCCTACAACTACTGGGCCTCTAAAAATGCCAACTTTGTCTTCTTCTGCTCGGCCCCTAGTACCCGACACATCTACTGCTACTTGGTGCAGCACCGGCCTACTTGCTACTTGAGTGTTTTTCCCGCTGCCCTAAGTGTCGCGGACCTCATGCTCTGCCACTTGAGTGTTTTCCCCCGCTGCAACCCTCAATGTCATGGCGACAGGTAAGTATCGGCCCTATGGGCCCTCAAGCAAGCAAGTACCCCTGCGGGTCACACACACACTCAGGCCAACCAGCACGCACACACACACAGACTTGGCAAACTCAGCAGAATGCGGGAATCTAGGCAAGGCATCCATGCCAGCGGCAGAACTCAGAAATCACCAATGTTCTCAGTTTATGTTTTGACGGGTCATTACACTACCCCCCCCTTAAGAGCAAGGTCCCTTCGAGCGAGTAACTCACTCAGAGTCCCTACAAAACGCATCAAAGGCGAATATGGCAACGAGGGATCGGAAGCATGCTGTAGCCGTGAGAGCCGCAGTGATCTTTGGTTGTGTATCAATTTGTCATTCATAGGCCTTGATTACTGGGGGTGCGCTTTACAACAATTCCTTCTTGGAAATCCAGTACAAATCATGTAGTTGGTGATATAGAAAGTAAACTTGGTACTGTTTGTTATGCCCCTTACCGATATGACTCACAATCTTGTCGATCTCATGACCGCCATCGATAGGACGAGGGATCATAGGGTCACAATAGGGTAAGGAACCAGGAGCACGATACGGAAACAGTTTGGATGCGTGAAAGACCGGATACATGCGCCGATAGGGTGGCTCATTGATCACGTAGGAAGGGCCAAATCCATCATTGCCCACTACCTTCAACACCCGCCATGGGCCATAATAGAGAGGGAGGAGTTTACGCGACACTCCCTCTTCTTCAGGAAAATTCAGACATTTTGACCCAGACATAACTTCCCACTTCTAATGGTGCACACTGGCGCTTTTTATTAGCGTGTTTAATCATGGCCTCCCGACACTTGTTAGTGACCGCCACAACAATTTTGAGCAAGTGATCGTAAATGGCACTATAGCCAGGTTTGGTGTCGTGTCGGTGGAAGAGTGAATGGAATTGTTGTACAACCCCCTCACAATGGGCAATTCTACATCCCACGTGTTTCGATCGGGGATGATAAGAGCGCGAAAAAGTTGAGTAACGGTCTGGTTGATTTTTTCAGCCATGCCATTGGCCTCCGGATGACGGCCAGATGTCATCTTGAGAAGTTGAGATTCATATCGTAGATCTGGGTGGGAAAGTCCTTCCAATCTGAGCTAATGAACCGGGTATCCCGATCACTCACAAGAGTCTTCGGGGTTCCATACTCCAGAATGTACTGCTTATTAAACTCTTGGATTACAAGCTTAGTTGGGGCATGAGGTGGCAAGTTAATCAGATTCAAGAATTTTGAAAAACGGTCAACGATCACCATCACTTATATGAGTACCCATTCCTACTTGTCTTACCCATATCCGTGAAGTCAATTGAAACTGACTCTTCGGGACCATCAGGAATAGGTAGGGGGTGAAGTAGTCCATAGGGCTTTTGCCTAGATGGCTTAATCTGTTGACAAACTTCACACTCAACCACAAACTTGTGTGCTTACCCTTTCATACTAGGCCAATCAAATTGTTGCAGTAAACTGCTATACGTTTTCTCAAACCGAAGTGTCCACTCCAACCATGAGCCAGATCCAAGAAGTAGGTGCGGAGGGGGTCATGGTTGGTTACACACAAACAGTCATGCTTCCCATAACGTCGGAACAACAGACCCTCACACTCGTGGAAATCAGGCTGACTACCAGTGTCAGCCTTGAGCTGCTCAAGAATGACACTAAGCTCTGGATCCTTTCTAGTTTGCTCAACTAGACCCTCCTTTAATTTCTTTCTGAGGTCATAGGAGTTCACGAGGCAAGTCATATACTCTGGTGGCGAGACAATGCATCGGCAACTCGGTTATAACAGCCCTTCTTGTGTTTTAGATCATAATAAAAAATATCAATCTCATGCAACCAGCAGGTCAATGTAGTGGATAAGGTATCTTGCTCCTTAATCCACTTCAGAGTCTCGTGATCTGAAAAGATTATGAAGTGGCGTCCCAAAAGATAGTGCTTCCAATGGTTGAGTGCCTCGCGCAATGCATAGAGCTCACGCATATAAGTGGAAGTGGTTACCTTTTTGTTGGGCATGCGTTTACTGTAATATTTGAGCGGACGCAAGCCATCACCATCATCTT